AGCCATCTATTTCAGTGATGTCTTCAGCCCAGGATGATCCAGCAACGAAATTTGCCTCCCGAATTGCCACTGTCACCTCATTACTAGTCATTATTACTTGTTCTCTGCTGTACACTGCTACCATAGTAGGAATAGAAACTTCCGCATCTCAGTACGAAGACATGTTAAGAGCTTTTGAGGTATGCATTACTTTGCGTTTACTCTACGCATTAGACATATATTTCGGAAATTTCGATTAGCAATCTCCTAGGTTTCAAGAAAGAGTAATCACTACACTCTTTTGATAACTGCTTATCAAAAGTTTGCTTGTATCTATATTTAATCATCAGAAAGCAAATTACCGATAAAGTAACTTTTATTCTCAGGAAACTCACCAAACCACGTATAATGATCTCAAATCACTGGAAGTCGAAAGAATAAGAAGAGATGCATACTACACTCAACCTCGGAAAAGCATGCTCGAGTACGGTGTGGATGGAGGAGGGTATGTTCGTCCACATAGAAGGAGACCAAGTACATACGAACCTCGAATATGCGGTAGGTTAAAAATAATTCATGTACGTTTTCTCAAGCGAAAAATGACGCGTACAAAGCGAAAGTTCAAACCTTTGTTTACTAGTCCTTTAACAGACTGCACAGTGATACAATGTCCCCGTGGGCCACGAGGTCCACCTGGTGTCAATGGAATACCAGCTGAAGATGGAATCCCGGGCGAGCCAGGTCGCCCAGGGATTGATGGAATCTACCTCGGTGAGGAAATGGTGTGTTCACCCTGTCCGCAAGGTCCACGCGGTGAAGATGGTCCACAGGGTGAACCAGGTATCACAAGAATTTTTTAGCAATCATGAAAGAAACGTAATGTTTGCTGAAATTCAAGGAGAACAAGGCAAGCCTGGCATTCCTGGAGTGCCAGGCCAGGACGGTAACAATGAGCCTGGCCCGGTCGGCCCACCGGGCAATAGGGGGCAGACCGGAAGGCCTGGCAAAAAAGGAATTCCTGGAGAATCTGGTCAAGATGCAGTCCAGCTGATTGGTCTTCCTGGCCCAAAAGGGGAGCGGGGACCACCCGGATTCGCCGGTTCGCGGGGAGATCCTGGAGCTAATGGAATACCTGCTCCTCCAGGTAAAATTTTTCACCAATT